CACTTGTGATTCGCAAAAAGATTTTTGGTGAAGATCATGCCTCGGTAGCAACAAGTTATAACAACTTGGCATCAGTGTACAACAGCCTAGGAGAATACAATCAAGCCAAAGAACTTCAAGAAAAAGCACTTGTGATTCGCAAAAAGATTTTTGGTGAAGATCATGCCGATGTAGCAACAAGTTATAACAACTTGGCATCAGTGTACGTCAGCCTGGGAGAATACAATCAAGCCAAAAAACTTCACGAAAAAGCACTTGTGATTCGCAAAAAGATTTTTGGTGACGATCATGCCGATGTAGCAAGAATTTATAACAACTTGGCATCAGTGTACAACAGCCTGGGAGAATACAATCAAGCCAAAGAACTTCAAGAAAAAGCACTTGTGATTCGCAAAAAGATTTTTGGTGAAGATCATGCCTCTGTAGCAACAAGTTATAACAACTTGGCATCAGTGTACGACAGCCTGGGAGAATACAATCAAGCCAAAGAACTTCACGAAAAAGCCCTTGTGATTCGCAAAAAGGTTTTTGGTGAAGATCATGCCGATGTAGCAATAAGTTATAACAACTTGGCATCAGTGTACAAAAGACTGGGAGAATACAATCAAGCCAAAGAACTTCACGAAAAAGCACTTGTGATTCGCAAAAAGATTTTTGGTGAAGATCATGCCGATGTAGCAACAAGTTATAACAACTTGGCATCAGTGTACAACAGCCTGGGAGAATACAATAAAGCCAAAGAACTTCACGAAAAAGCACTTTTGATCGGCAAAAAGATTTTTGGTGAAGATCATGCCGATGTAGCAACAAGTTATAACAACTTGGCATTATTGTACAACAGCCTGGGAGAATACAATCAAGCAAAAGAACTTCACGAAAAAGCACTTGTGATTTGCAAAAAGATTTTTGGTGAAGATCATGCCGATGTAGCAACAAGTTATAACAACTTGGCATCAGTGTACGACAGCCTGGGAGAATACAATAAAGCCAAAGAACTTCACGAAAAAGCACTTGTGATTTGCAAAAAGATTTTTGGTGAAGATCATGCCGATGTAGCAACAAGTTATAACAACTTGGCATCAGTGTACGACAGCCTGGGAGAATACAATCAAGCCAAAGAACTTCTCGAAAAAGCACTTGTGATTTGCAAAAAGATTTTTGGTGAAGATCATGCCGATGTAGCAACAAGTTATAAGAACTTGGCATCAGTGTACGACAGCCTCGGAGAATACAATCGAGCCAAAGAACTTCACGAAAAAGCACTTGTGATTCGCAAAAAGGTTTTTGGTGAAGATCATGCCGATGTAGCAACAAGTTATAACGACTTGGCTGTAGTGTACAACAGCCTCGGAGAATACAATCGAGCTAAAGAACTTCACGAAAAAGCACTTGTGATTCGCAAAAAGGTTTTTGGTGAAGATCATGCCGATGTAGCAGCAAGTTATAACAACTTGGCCGTAGTGTACAACAGCCTCGGAGAATACAATCGAGCCAAAGAACTTCACGAAAAAGCACTTGTGATTGGTAAAAAGGTTTTTGGTGAAGATCATGCCAATGTAGCAACAAGTTATAACAACTTGGCATCAGTGTACTACAGCATCGGAGAATACAATCGAGCCAAAGAACTTCACGAAAAAGCACTTGTGATTCGCAAAAAGGTTTTTGGTGAAGATCATGCCGATGTAGCAACAAGTTATAACAACTTGGCCGTAGTGTACAAGAGGCTGGGAGAGTACATTCGAGCCAAAGAACTTTATGAAAAAGCATTGAGGATTTACGAGAAGATTTTTGTTGAAGATCATTTGTACGTGGAAAGAGTGCGTAACAACTTGGCATTATTGAACCAGTGCCAAAGAGCCGGTCGGTGTAAAGATCGTCGCGAAAAAGCACGGTGTTTGGTCCTGTAAGTTGTCTTATTTTTGACGACAAGTGACGACATTCACTTTGCCCACGTTTGTCAGGTCGACAAGTCCAACCTCGTGACGGACAGACATCTCCAAGGGACGAGCGAGTAGGAAATACCCTGGGAACGAGGATATAAGAAGCCTTGTAAATAAACAATAGCCCAATAATCAGGACCCCCCCTCCCCGTCTCCCCTGCCTCACTGCACAGAATGTAAATAAAATTGCATGTACGTAAGAATTGATGGGATAAAATTAGTTAAATCAATGCAGTATGTGTCTTTTAGCAAACAGCTAATAAAGACGGCCATTGTCAGCAACGGGGTTTGTATTACTACAGGATATTATGTCTCAAAATAGTTTAACACAAAACTTGCAGTCGGGTGTGAAAGGCAGTCAAGACCTTTGGAAAGACAAACATGGTCAAATATGGGTCAAGCCGCCCTGTTGTTCGTTTTGGATGCAATAACGACCAGAAACAAGAGTATTGGCTATGTGGTATGTCAGTCCTCACCGGGCGTGCAAAGATTGGGAGTGTCGAAAATCACCATTCAGATTTTGTAATTTTATTTGGACTTCATCTCTGATATAGTGGGTGTTCTGCACAGTTTTTAGCAATTGCAGAAAATAGGCGGATTCATTGTGACGTCATCGTTCACATTTCTTCTCATTAGCATATGAGTTAAATCATAGAAGAAGTAGCCGTATATACCAATTAGGTGCAAAAATTAAAAGAAAATTAACTGGTTGATTGCAGCAGTTTGTGCAAATTTCAGCTCTTTGCAATCAGAAACAAAGAAAATAGCAGCAATTAAAAACTGCAAAATTACTGGGTAGCAAATAACGTTAGTGCGCTCTTACATTATTTCTTTGTAAATTTTGGGGTTTTTCAAAAGGAATTTCTCAGACACTATTTGGTATAACGGGCCCAAATTTTCAGACATAACTGAAATTGTTATTCTCTTTCAGTATTCAGGAATTTCACTTTATTAGCTTCATCAGATGATGAAAAGCCTATGCTAATGAGGCAAAAAATGTAAACGAGGATTCGCCTATAGGCAGTCCAATTGCAAAATTATGATTTATATTTTATCCAAAGTTTGAACTCAAGGTTCACGAACATAGTTTCCGATCGCTTCATAGTTAGGCTTCAAAGCAGTGGTTTTTCTCTCGAATTTAATTGGGTTTTCAAGGAGCGAAGCACTGCCGGCGAGCTTAACACGCTCGTAGTACGGTTTGGCGTAGGCCCACGAACCGTCTGGGCATAATTAGGGCGGAAACGAATTTTGTTTATGCACGGTTGAAATATCCGAGCTGTACCTCTAAATAAAGCTTATTTTTTTATTGCATTATTGTGGCCGCGGGCTGTTTAGCACGCTATGAAGTAATTTTAATATTTCCCTATTACTTGAAGTTTTCAGTACAGTTGTAACTGAAAGTTTTCAATTTCGCTACATTTCAATTTCAAATTAATTCCATTAAAAAATGTCGCGAAAAAGTTATTTTGCTACACGGTCTTTTCGGATCAATTTGGCAAACGTACAAAAAACATTCGTCTTAGCCATGCTGTTATAGATATTATAAAGCAGAAATGTAATCTTAAGTTTGTTTTAGCCTTGACTTGTATTAAACTTGGTGGCTCTTATATATGAAGCCGTTGCTTTTGTTGCCTTTATGAGATCAGTGTGTAACATAACATCATAGACGTTGGAAAAATCCTCTCAAGTGTAATTGTTACATAGGACTCCGCTCTTACATGTAGTGGCAATGTTTGGTTCGACTTTGGGTTCATCACACCCCTCCCCCCTAACCCCCCCTCCAATGTTGTGACCCCAACCTGAAACGGACTTATTTCCGCCCATTTTGCTCATAATTTAACTCTGGCTGGGGTGGGAGGGGGGGAGGTCACTGGTTTTATACTTATATCTCTGGGAAGGTCCCAACACTTTTAATCTTTATTGTACTTTGTAGGCTTGTTTCCAGGGACGTTAACGTAAAGGATAACTTTACGTGCAGGTAGAACGGACAGTTAACTCAATGAAAAGATATCTTTGAAGCGACTCAAGGGGTACCATTTGGAATAGAAGGTATACGAAAGGGGTACCTTTTTTGTGAAAAATGGTATATAAAAGGGTAAGGGGTTGAACCATAAGACGGAGCCTCCCCGTATAAACATTTGTTGAGTACACACCCCCCCTCCCCCCTCCCCGTGTGCGCGGCCGACAAACAAAAACGCTTGCTGCGCAGGTCACATCATAAAAGAAATCTGTCTCTAAAACAGCTCACGTTCATTATGAACACGGCGAAATTTGCGGGGAAAGAAATCCTTAAAACGTTTCCAATCCCCTTCTTAAACATCAGGAGCTCCTGTGACAACATTTATTGCTGGATAACAGGAGCCCATCACATTTGATGGGCTCCTGTAATCTCGTACCCAGATCTTCCACGGCCAAGGGAAAAACAGAGTGAGATCTGGGTCCGAGATTAGGGCTCCTGTAGATAATGATGATGGTGGCAACGATGACGATGAGGAAGTTTTAATTAGTTCCCGTCTTTGCTGAAGGATCATCTCTTAAGTTTCGGCTGTTTTGTTTTCATTGTCAATTTCATACAAAAATCTTGTGATTACATGGGGGCGCTTTGCTCTCAGAGGATAAAAAGACTGCTCTCTTTAAGAAGTCACGCAATGAGACTGGCTGTATATAAAGCCAGACACAAAGGTTGTCACGTACCGAAGCTTGAACACGTTAAAGGGGCTGTGTATTTTAGCTTTTTTTTCATACCTGGTTCAACTAAACGTTTATCGGCTCCTGCCTTGAACGACTTGAACAGATTGATACCTAGGTCACGCACTGTATGAATGTCACGTAAGACATCATTGACGTGACTCGAGTTAATGCTGTCAGCGGTTGTTCACTTCATAGCTGATGAAAATGTGGTGAAATCCGAAAGCCTGTTAACCCACGTGCAGAATCCAGAAACAGTTTTTACCTTTTTTACTCAGTTTTACCCGATAGAACCTTCTTATTGGACTCACTCAAACTTAAGCAAAGTAAGGTACATAGTTTCAGTTGAAAAGACAAAGATTTCATCGCAAAATGGCTGCAAACGAAGGCACAAATGGGCACACGGAAGTTCCTTCCGACCTTGAAAAGAAAATTATCAAACAAATCGAGGTAAGCTGTAGGTTATTTTTGTTGTTATTAATTTGTTTTTCTGCCAAGAATCCCAGCGAATGGTTATTCACCTGAGAAGCATTTTAAGGCTAAAAGGAATCATACCATAAGTGAAAAGGACGCTATTTTTGTACTCGTAAGCACAATTACCCATAAAATTTCCTTGCCAAGAGCGTATTATATAGTTTCAGCTTTGAATGTCAGCATTTTGCCTTTACCTGTTAACCGCTTATGCAGAAAATAGAATAAGCGTTAGAATGACTCTGTAGAGTTGCTACGTTCATGTATGTAGGGACGTTTTGACTACCGGTATTTGTGGAGCCTACTGTACGTGTACACGTATCACATATAAATTTTAAGAACTTTGTCAAAATCAAGGAGCTACAGTCACCCATGGTCAAACTGACTCATGACCGAATAGGACTCTTGTGCAAGTCTGCCTTACATCCATCTTAAATTGTAACAATCAGTGCAATGCAGCCAGTTAAAGGTTCCATTAATTAAGCAAGTTAGCTCATGATCATCAGTAAGAACTACAGTAGAACTCTTCAGTCCCCCCTAGCTAGTTGATCAATAAATAGGATGGTTTCTTTGAACCTTCTGCCATGTTGTTCACCACTGTCTGGTCATGAGTTGGGAGGTTTCATTTTTTATCTGCACCCCTCTAAAGATGACGGGAATCTGAACCCGGGTTGTTTTTTTGTCAGCAGCTTTGAAAAATTTGTCTGAAGGGTCAAAATTTTGTGGGCTTTTTAATTCTTGGAAGGAAAAATCCGAACCCCCTTGCTTGGAAAAACCATCATCCTTAGGGGGATGCGGATAAAAAATGGAACGTCCCATTGACCCTGTGATTTAACACTGTGCCCATTATTAATAGTCTAAAAATAATTACCTGTCTTTAAAGGGACTGTACTGTGTCATGGCAGTCCAGTTCATTTTGTTTAAATTTGCCAATTGCTCGCCTGCAATTGCTATGGAACTTAATGTAAGCAAAGAAATAATATTACATGTAAATGACAAAATCAGAGATTCGAGACAAACAGATATGTCTCTTGATCATTATTTTTGAAGTTGCAAACAGCAGAGATCAACTTTGAAAAACTGTTAGGCTGAACAGTTTTCAAAAACCCCAATTTCAATCCGTTTCAGTCTTCTTCAGTTTTGCCCATCCGTGGAATCCAGTGTTGTATCTGTTGTGTTATTTTAACCTTCCTTTAATGTTTGAAGCGGTTATTTTTATGTTTCTCTTAATCTAATGGGCATTTTGTAATTACCTAATTTGGCTGAATTTCGTGACACAGCTCCTTTAACAAATCTGAAGATACTTGAATAAACTTCGATCTTCAGCCCAGTGTAGAGCAAAGGCAAAGCTTCCTGCTACTGCTAGAACCCTGCATGATCACTGTGTAACCCTGACAACCATTTGAAAGTAATACCAAGCTATAGCTTTGGTTTGGAGTTTTCTACCCCAGCCTAACATCTTATCAGACGGTTAAATTTCCTTAAATAAGTGATAACTGGAAACTACCACCATCCCTGTTCAGGATAGGGCTGTACCTGAAATCTTCATCTTTGCTCTATATTGGTGTAGAGACTCAAGCTTAATTTGTTCGAATTTATCACATCCTGGATAGATGAGTTGTATATGTAATCTTGTGTTATCATGCATGTGAAGGATATTAACCAATATTAACATTCAAATTATTGTTGCAGTTTTATTTTGGTGATAAGAATCTACCCAGGGACAAATTTCTCAGACAGAAGGTTGATGAAGATGAAGGATGTATCCTTTCATGTACCCATGTTCTTAAAATCACTTTTCAACTAACTAGAGAATACAAATACAGGTTTGAAGCTCTGTAGCACCACACTCCCTCAGTTGATGCTGATAGACTTTAACATTATGCTTGCATTCTTCTCATGATTGCTTATGACAAAAAACCCCATCCCCTTCATAATACCATTTTGCTTGTGCAGGCAGTGTTCTCCTTATCAGGCGGTAACTGGTAAAATTTACCACTTGAAGCAACACTTCTTACTGCTTGCATTTGCTTGAAGGTTTACTAAAATTAAATTGTGATCTGATCCTATTTTCACCAGGAAATGAATGAATATATTTATGGAAAAGTACTAAAGTATGCACAGCTTTTGTTTTTATGGGCCACTCATTTTGGAAAGAGAACATTGAAGAGAGAGTAAAATTTTTGGAATCAAAGGTTTTTAATTGTTGTCTAAAGATAACAACGGCTGATTTGTGAAAAATAGGTGTTAAAATGAGGGAATGACATTTCAGAGAACTTAGCTCCTGAATTTCCAAGTAAGGGCGGGCCATGTCCCGCCTCCCCTCCACCACGAAAGTGCACCTTTGGTGTATATTTTTTGCCTTACCGGCCATGAATGGTCCCTTTCCTGCTGATCTAAACTTTAGGAAGAACACAGTCTGTGCAGGTATATTGAGTGAGCAAAATAAAAAAGAACATAAAACGTACTCACTCTCTCTTAATTCAAATTTAAATATCTCAAGAAGATTAATGTACAAAATAAAATTACAGTATTATTTATTCTCACTGTAATCTGTAGTTTTCTTGACAAGACTTGCTATAAATCACAGGGGTGACACTTGAGTGTCTAACAACTTTCAACAGACTTAAGGTAAGAAGCTCACATTTGCTTTATCTTGCCCCATTCTTTCTCTAACAAGAAGATACCAGGAGGCGTTTACAGTGTATGCGGGATGTGTTGGTGTATGTGAGGGGTATTTTGACTGGAGTTGGACAATTAAGTACAAGGGTTGGTACTTGCAATGCTGATAGGAGTGGAGTTCTTCAGAGTGAAAGCAGGTGTAAACAACTAGCCCAGTTGTTAAAAAGGTGGATAAATCTCTTTATTATATAAACACCAATGAAATACCAAGTGAGCTTTCGCGTGAAAACTTGATATCTCCACATGTGAAAATAACATGTTATCTTCACATGTGAAAATGTCACTGTTGCTATGGCTGCATAATAAAAAGCACCTTTCACACCAAAAAACTATTTAAGTAAAATGGTTTGGTATTTCATTGGTGTTTATATAATGAATAGAACATTACATGGTCGCTTGGAGATACAACATTTCTCTTCTCATGTTGAAAAAAATATTTCACTCGTTCGCTGCTCTCACGCGTGAAATATTTTTCAACACTCGAAGAGTGGATGGCGCAATGGTTTTCCTAACACTTTTATGCTGGATAGTGATTTATCTGGTCAATGGTGCTTGTCGTGACGTTTGGCCCAGAGACTGACAGAACCATTATTTTTAGGCTCTATCAACAGATATAGATGCTATAGCAAAAGCTCTCAGAAAATCAGAAGCTGGCCTGCTTGAGGTATGTTACAAATGTATGTTTAAATACCGGTACATTGCTGTTCTTGAATGAAGTTTCAGTAAGATGTACCAGTGTTATTTGTACATGTAAATAATTATTAAGACTTGTTGTATATTTATAAAGGCTGTGTTTGCTTCCAGAAATATTATTGTAAGAAGCAAAAAATCTTTGAACCTATAACACTTAGGCATGTACATATGTTCAACTCTGACCACCCCTGTTGTTTGACAAAGTGTTTGTTTATGGGAGGTGGTTGTCTTAAATAATAAAATGTAAGCTCAAACTAAACTGATATAAGAGAGAGTTTTTGAATAACAGTATTTAACTGAGAAAAAAGAAGTTATTTACAACATGGTCGCTTATTGGAGTTGGTCACTTATGAGAAGTGGTTGCTGTGAGAGAGTTGAGGTTGAAGAAGTAGTTTTTTTCAAAAAGTAAGGTTTAGCAAAAGTTTTATGTAGCTGCCTAGAAATAAACTGACTAGGTACTGCTATACTTCCAGTCTTTCAATTTACAACAGTACAGAAAGCATAGCGGCACTGTAAAATGCTATTTTTATTTTTTTAGGTCAGTGAAGATAATAAGAAAGTAAGAAGAGTTGCAACAAAACCTCTTCCCGAGGAAACTGCAGAAGCAAGACATGATGCCAAAACCAAAACAGTTTACTGTGTAAGTTGTGTAAAGCATGCTGTTCAATAATTATTATACAGTGTAATTGGGGTAACATTAAAACCATATAACAGCAAAATTGTTTCTCAGTTTCAAAACGCTAGCCAAATATGCCAAGCGGGGTGTTTTATCTTTTATTAGAAGATCATCTATGCACCCTTTCATATACTTGTATACAGTGGGCTGCACTGCTTCCTACATTTATATACAATGCAACACTAAAATTAATGTTGTCCCAATGATGGCTCTTTTTGAACTGCATATATATTACACATATCAAAGAGTAGGGGTAATTTTCCCAATCCCTTTATTTTGGCATCTAGAGAGGGTTGTCTAAATTTTAAATGCTGTACAAACCATCATCAATGCATAGTTTACACAACATGTACATGTAACCTTCACTTAGCAGGATTTAAAGTAGTTAATGAATAGCCATTTGATTCTTCTTTAATCTTCATTGTTAGTTTGGTGTAATTTCCTTGCAGAAAGGTTTCCGTGCAGAAACAACTATTGATCAACTGGAAGAATTCTTTTCAGATAAAGGAAAGGTAAAGTACAACCCCCCCCCCCCCATGTTTTCGTCTTAAATAAGGGTTGATTTCAAGTGTCGCATTACATTCGGAAATAAAATAGAGGCAATATATAAAAGGTCACTTGTAAGCGTAACAGTTGAAACTCGCTCAACTTCTCTTTTAAGGTCAGCACTTTTTATCTTGCCCCTATTTTATTAACGTGATTAAAATTTACATGCGATAACTTGCAAAGCCAAAAACACGCCAGTGGAAATCAACCTTTAGCCTGACTTGTCCTCCGTCAGTTTAGTCCTAGCGTCAATTTTGGTACATGAAATTGTACATTGTTGTTAGTATGCTTATAACCAGCCAGTGGATCCTGTGTTGAAGCCCCTTAAACACTACTTTTTGCGATGATTTACCTGTGTTTCTTTTTTTTTTAACTGTTCAAAGGCCGTGCTGATCAAAATGAGGCCATTTATTTAAAGGATCTGCGTTTGTTGAATTCTCCACTGTGGATGAGGCAAAGGCATTTGTGGCAACAGAAGCACTTAAATACAATGAACAGGAGCTCATTAAAATGATGAAGTAAGTATTCTTCATTAATAAAGAAGAGTTGTCCCTAAAATGGCTTCTCTCGTGACAGTACACTGTATGTTTGTGTAAAGTTTCAGTCGTTGGCAGATACTATTGATTGGGGGAGTAGGGTGTTTGAGGGGCTGGGATACCCCTATGCTATTAATACATGTAAATCCATCACACTGGAGTATTAACTGAAGGACACTTTACTTGACTTTGAAACTGACAAGAAAAAATACTACCTGAGAGTTGCATTCAGTTTTCACCTTGCAGCTTAGTAACAAAACTTGCGATGATTCCTCATTGCCTTTAACCTGTAAACGAGCTCGCTAATTTTGGTGAGAGAATGCACTTGCGTCTCCTTTCGCATGTGGTTCTCGCATGAATTCTCACAACTCCCCCAAATGGAGAGCTTGCTTGCAGGCTACATTGCCTTTCAACTGCGGTTCTTGTCGAAACTGATGGAACCTGGGGTACATTCATTTTATCACACAACATATAGAAAAGCTACAACTTTTTTGAGTGTTTATCATGAAAACAAGGGTCTGTGTAAAAAAAATGCATGTAATGTTTGAAAACTTGTATGACTTTTAACAGTGTGCAAAAGTTATCCCCCTATGATAATAATGTCATTAACTGTCACAGTCTGTTAGTGGAAAGGGGATTCAAACCTCCTGCCTCTTGTAACCTGCATTCCCTGCACCCATCCTTTTTACTGGATTCCTCCCTTGAGCTATCTTTCGATTGCAAAATATTAAGCATTGTTGTGTAATTTCCTTTATTCATTTCCTGCCCTCTTATAACGCCCACCTCTCACTCTTTCCTCTCCCACCCATCCCCTGTTATCCCCAGCTCCTATTCCCCTGTCTACCCCCACTGTTCAGTTACTAGTGAGTTTAACCAAGGACGTGTGGGAACAACGCACATCAACCGGAAGTGGACTTCTTGCATTCTAAGGCAATGATGCGCTTGCCCAAATTTTCGGGCAAATTGTCTCTATAAGAGTAAATACACTTAGTAATACAAATCTGGTAGTGTCAAGGGATATTAAAAGCGACAAGGGCTCACTTCTGGCTGAGGTGTATGGTTTAAAAACGCTTTCGCCTCACCTTCCTACTGACAGAGCAAGGCCTTTGACAATTCTTTTGCATCGTACAATTTAAGTTAGGGTTCGAAAATGATTTCGATTATTGGTGAATTTTAAAGGGATTAATATTACCTTATCATAGGGCTGACTACTGTAAAAAGAAGGAGGAAGAATTCAAACTGAAAAAGGAGAAGCAAAAATAAGTCTTTTTTTAAAACAAAAGGAATTATATTATCGCATGTATTAACTCAAATACTCAAGTGATCCATATTCAAACTGCTTTAACGCATAAAAATATCAGCCTATGGTTCTTACTATTGAATGAAACATCCCTACAATTCTGGACAGAAGGTCAGAGTTCCAGTCCAGGATTACATTGTATGTATACGTTTTGAGCTAGCGATTTCATCACCATCTCTATTCCATCCTTGACCTCGTTCGGTACAACTGAGAATTTTTGGTAAGTCAGATAAGCTAGCCTCCCCAAAGGACGTCTGCGGGGAGGCTACTGAGGGTGCCGTCGATTGACATTATTCTGGAAAACGAATACTTAAAACAAAAAGAAAAGAAAAAAGTCTCTTCTATGTGATTTTAACGCGACATGCTTCTTAATATTTTTATTTCAAGTAGGTTTATAGATATTGCAGTGCAATGAGTGCCAATAATTAAGTGATTCCAAGATTTTATCCCATTTATTTTTATACCGGAATGCAGTCAATCGAACGCGCCCTGAAAAGCTAAACCTGCAAATTTGTTTTCAACAGAGCGTTTTTGGGATCAATAGCCGTAACTGCTCACCATCTACAATCCCGGTCATGGTATTTGAAACGCTTGCTGATGTTTGGCCTCCTTCCCTTTCAATTTTGATTTTCAGGAGGTACATTGGTATAGACCTGAGTGGTTACCCAAGCGACAGCAGTGGCCACCAGACATTGAGACGAAGACCGCCCCAGAGAGCCAAGAAGAAGCAAAAGTTATCCGGGAAGTCCTTGGAGTGGCCCAAGGTCAAACAGACATGCTTGACACCTTGCCAGCCAAGTCTACCCTCTGGCGAACACTCAGGGTTTGCGCTTGGATGGGACGGTTTATACACAATGCACGAAGTGCCAAGTCGGACAGAAACAAAGGCCCGCTTACCACAGAAGAAATTAACAGGCAGAGACTCCTTTGGCTAAAGAAAGTCCAGGAAAACTTCAAGGGAGACGAACGGTTCGAAGAACATCGGTTGCAGCTCAACCTTCAAGAAAACGAAAGTGGGTTGGAGTGTACAGGGAGGATTCAAGGTGTGTACCCCATTTACGTACCAGACTCGCACCAATTTTCACTCAAGCTTGTTGGTGAAGAGCACAAAACCACATTGCATGGGGGAGTAGGCCTGACTATGGCGAAGATTCGTGTGCAGTATTGGATCCCAAGGCTGCGACGCCTTGCAAGAAAAGTGATCAAGTCCTGCAACGGTCGTAAGCGGTTTCATTTCACCGCATTTACCAGTCCAGCACCTGGACAGCTTCCAAGGGACCGTACAGAAGGCCAAAACGCATTCCAAGTGGTAGGAGTAGATCAGTCGAGAAACAACTACCGACTGGTACGCTACCACGAGAGGTTGTCTCCAGCGATCGGCCTTCGGGCCCCTTCTCTGGAACGTCTTTTAAAACGACCTACACCTCTCCACCGATGAAAATAGGTTATTCATGTACGTGAGTGACCACCAACTGTTTTCAGTGGCGAAGACAGCCAACGAGGCGGAAAGCATTTTAACTGAGGAAGGAAACAACATCTCTGAGTGGTATAATAACAATCTTTTACAAGGAAATTTTTCTAAGTATCAAGTGATGAGTCTGGGCCCGAGGAATTGGCACAAGGATTTACACATCGTGATTAACGACACTGTAATTGATCAAAAACCAGAGATAACGTTCTTAGGGGTTACCCTGGACGATCAACTATCATTTTCGAGTCATGTAAGCAATGTTTGTAGAAAAGCCTCCTCTCAAACTGGCGTTCTTTTAAAGTGCTACTACGATCAAAATTTAATGTCAAGTTTGTTACAAAAACGCTTTCTTTTCAGTTTATCAGAAGTGGCTGTACCTGTTTCGGTCATTGAAGTGAACTTTGGCGCCCCCTAAGTGAAAATATTGAGCTTGAAAATGTAGGTTTTTCGCGTCCGCCATTACAAATTTATGTTCCAGTGACAAAGCTGTTGTTCTTTGATTGTGACGTCATTTTCTGAACGCGCCAAGAAAACAAACCTGAACCGGGAGAAAACAGCGAGCGATTCCAGTCAAAGCTTCGCTCGTCTTCGCCCGATTCTGGAATTGTGAAGGAGGAAATCATAGATTACGATAACTCTGTACAACCAGCACCGACTGAATATGACAAAGTCAAATACTAAGGGCAGCTAGCCTCAGAGAAGGAAAAAAACACACTTCACCAAGTCGTATTTTATGCAGTTTGTGCCGACGGAGATTCGGACTACTGGTAGGTGTATTTGTATAGGTACTAGCTATAATAATAATACACAGGCAAGACGATCGAGAGTCCGCACCAATTTCACCTGCCTTCTAGCCACTCTCGAGTGCTCATTTATCCAAGTGTAGATAAAGTTTTGCTTTATAGCCCTTCAGGCTCAGCGAATCAGAGTGGGTACAGTTTTCTGTTCAGCTAAGTTTCGGTTCTAAAGCAGCCAGCTCGTTGTCATATGCATGTGTTTTTTTTTACCATCTTAAACGGACTGCTGTCCTTTATTATTGAAAATTTATTTGTTACTTTACTGTTACGTATCTGAGCTGAGGATTTTAGATCTAATGTTAAGTTCTCTTTGTCAGAAAAGTTAATTTACTCATTTTCAATACAAATAGATAAATAAGGGGATCGCTCGCTCTTGATTTGGTATATCAATTTAATAATTTTCAGTGCTGACATTTAAGACTGTCACATTCTTTGTAGCTCATGTTTTTTTGAAAAGGCTGTGTCTGCCTATGCCTTCCCTATCGATTGACTGCAGATCATTATTGCAAGTTATAAATTGCAACGCTAATAAAAATTCAGAGATTTCACCTCATCCAACTATTGTCAATGATATCCCCTTGTATTCCCATAACTTTTATAGATAACTTTATGAAATTGTTGTATGTGACGTTTTTTTTTAATTTATTTATTATTCAAACCCAGGTGTGCATCTTTTGGATGCTCTACTGAGACCAGCTTTGAAGCTTTGGCTAGACAAGAAAATATATACAGTGGAAAGGTTAATACAGACATGTTATGATGTCTATATTATCTGGGTGTCCATATTAAGTTAGCTCTCTGGAAAAAAGTGACAGACACGTGATTTATTTTATATATAGCATAAAGGAACAAGGAGGAAGAAGGGTAGGAACAATGACTGTAGCAAAAAGCCAAGGACGTGAAACTTGTTGAGCAGGAGGCAGAAAATTTATCAAAGGACTACAAACAGGGAAAGAAAGAAAGATGTATCAAAGTCAAATGTGTCATGCTATTTGGCTGCAGATGTTTTGGTAATAAAATCTTATTAACCCGTGAACTTGGTACAATGTGTACAATTGGCACATCATTGTGACAAGAAAAATAGAAAGTGCCTGGGTAACCAGTGTCTCTAAAGCTGGATTAAGAATATATAGGAATTTTTGACTTGAAACACAGAAAAGTGGTTGTTGTCCACATTAACTACTGTGCGTACTAAGCCGGTTAATTTTAAAGAAAAAATGTATGCTTTTCCTCAGGACAAACAAAACTGCCTGTTATATATGGGTGTCCAATTAAGTGGGTGTATGTAGATCATAGAGTACTGGGTTATCACTGCATTAATAAATTATTATTATTTTGCAACTAACTTTATGTATTGAAAAACTAAATGGTTCAGTACATCACTAGGTTGCACGATTCTGCTGATAACACAGTGTGCCATAAATTCACTGCCTCTAGGAAGAAGTGTTACACAGGGGAAATTATGTTCATCATGGAGGCCCATCCTTGATTGTGCTCTGTGGGTTTTTCTTGCTGGGTTTTTCCATTGTAAAATATTATTAGAAACTGGCATTTTTAAGAGTTAAAACCCCTAAGAGAGCCTGGGAAGCAGTTTTTAACGTGCGCGGGCTGGTGACCACCTACATTGAGTTGGGGTGGGGGAGCAAATTTGGCTGTTCTCTCTTTGTGGCTGTTTAGAACTGTCAGATTACCGAACCTTTCTTGAGTCATTGTTGAGCAGAGTCATGTTCATAAATTTCAAGCCGCTGAAAAGTACCTTTCTCCTGCTGAGCGTGATTGCACATGCTGAATCCACCACTAGAAGTTTGCAGATCATGATATTACACTGTAGGTTCCTGTAATGCCTTCATTTTGTCTAGCATGTCATTGAAATGTGCCAGAGACCACATCATCAGCTGATTTAATTCGTTTTAAGAAACCGTAGTTCATGGAGTAGTCTTCAGATTTAATCAAGAACCTTCATCAAAAAAAGACTATTCCGCATTATTGCAAATGCTACATAGCTTTGCTGGTTTGAAAATGCAGAAATCTAGGACGATTGACTTTTTAAAGGCTTACCACGCATCACACTGATGGTATCAAAACAGACCAATAATAAATTTAGATGCTGGAAGATTCTTATTCCAACAAAGATACTATTCATATGAAAATGTATATTACAATGGAACCTCTATAACTAAGTCCTCGGTCTAACAAACTATTTTTACTCCAGTAAAAGTAAAATATAAGGCAATATGAAAAAGAACCTCGATAAAAGTTAACAAACCTCGTTATAATAAACATATTTTGCCAGTCCCCTGGCCCTTCGTTATATCAAGGTTCCACTGTACTTAATTTTATTTATTTATTTTTCAAAAAGTGGGGAAGCCCCTTTGCCCTGCGTGGGCCCTGCTCTAGCTTGGCTCAGGTTAGATAATACCCCCAAAGTAGACTATGCTAAATCAGGCAACAAAGAATAATAAAATTGCAGCCTTTAAACAGTATTACAGCCCTTGGCTTGTTTATTGTAATCACTGGTATGACTAAAAAATAATGGATTTGTGTATTGCACACGGTACGTAAGACCTAAACTTGTCCTCCAGGTTCTTAGCTGGGGCCTCACATTTATCTTGTGATCGACAAGTGTGCAGATCAATTGTTACAGTAGGGTGCACAGCGCCTTTGTATGTGGTAAGGGGCCATGAAGCTTCCTCATTTATAGGAATAACATTAGTCTAGATACACCAAGGTTTTTTGAAGTAGCAAGGCTGTGCTCTAAGAAAAATTGAAAGGAGCCCAGTGCTCCGGACCCGTGAAATCCTGGGTGCACAGCACATGATTTCTATGAAAAAATTTCCTAGTTGCCCCGGAACAATAGTTAAGCACCACGGGCCAACTGTGTGCTGGTAGAGCACAACCTCGAGTAGTGAAACATAAAGCAGCAGTGATGAGCAGGGGCCACGAAACTATCTCATACATGTACATAACCCTCAGTTGCAGTAAATATTTCAGTGAACAAGCCTTGGTGATTATTCATTTTTAACTTGCAATCTGTCAGTCATATCACTTCAGTGATTCAGTGCATGAGTGCCCCTGTGTTGGAGTTTACATCTCAAATTATGATATACTATAATAATAATTATTATTATTATCATAAGTATTCAATGCGAGAATGCAAAACTTTTAGTTATTCACTCAAAAGAAAAACAATACACAACATTCAAGATAGGATCACAATTTTATTTTAAAGACCACATCAGTAAATGGTAATAATTCTTGCTGTATTTTACAAAATTGCAAAAACAGTTTTTGCAATAAACTTGTGTGGGCTCTCTTGCTTTAGCTTGTGGTTTGAACTGACAATGTGTCTGTGCAGTTTAAATCAGGCTCTGAGTTTTGGGAATACTAAAATTGAAAAAAGCATACCTTTAATTTGTTTAGTGAGGGTTATGGCGACCCGCATGTTGGAAATACTAAGGAATTTACTGTATATTAAAATATCATACCATTCAGATTGCACCCATCCTGATAGATTTTAATACTTTATAATAAAAATTTACAAATAGAGCTTTAAAGCTTTTTATAAAAGCTCAAAGGAATGTTAATAGTGGTAACAGAAAAAATAGTGCACTACAAGAGCAAGGTGTGAGCGATAATAGTGTTTACTAAACTAGAGGGCTCTCTGTGATCTGTTGCCTTAGGGCAAATCTTTTTGAAAAGTTTCCTAAAAGTTTCGTTGTCGTCGCGTTCCAGTCGAAGAAAGGTCTAAGAAAAAATTTATCTTCGATGACTTCGCCAGTAGTAAAAGCAAAAATCACCACCGGCGATATAAATAAACTTAGCGGTGGGGACATTCACTGCAAGTTTTGCGAACTGTAAGCTTACCTCCATGCGCTCCCTCTTTGTGCGAAGATTTCTTTCCGGATTCAAGATCTGTCGATTGATCTTTCTTCCATATGCTAGCAAACGATCTAAGTTTAATTTTCCGCCACTGGTTTGCGTTGAAAGCCCCGTAAATGCTATTGCAGCACTCTTCGAAGTTATCAAACCGAGAAAACAGCGAAACTGTCAGCGGGAAACAAACCTATTCCTCGAATCTCAAATTCAGTCGGTCAGACTCGCGTGCAGCTCAATTCTATCGATTGAAGCGGTTGCTGCACACATACGGAGCCTAATGTAGTAAGATCGAAAGAGTCTTCCTAAACAAGAACGCATCGAAGAAAGAGAAAAGGGAACATTGTTGAGCAGGGTTCTTGGAAGAAAATTGTCATGCTGTGTGTACTGCGTTAAGTAAATGACGTCACAAAG